GGTACTAGCGGTTGTAGAGGTCGACGTCTTTCGAGGAAGGGGCGGTAGTGCTCGATCGCGCGGACGCGCCTCGAGCGCCTCAGGGGTCTTGGGCGCCCTGGCCTCGCGGCCCTCCTGAAAGTGCCGAGCGTTCCGATCAGCGATGGAGGTGAGAAAGTCGGCCGTCGTCTGGCGCGGCGGGCGCCAGTAGCCGAGACCCTCAAAGTAGGCCTGGGCCTCGTCGGCGCGGCCGTGGAAGAGCATGCGGCCCTCGTCGATGACGAGCACCTTGTCCATGAGCTCGTAGATGGACTCGCCGGCCTGGTACAAGGTGACCAGAGTCGTGCGACCGCCCACGTCGGTGTAGACGCGCAAGGACTTGGCAAAGCTCAGCGCCGTGCTGGCATCGAGGCCCCTCGTCGAGTTGTCCCAGCACACGACCGAAGCTCTCGTGGCGAGCGTCTCGGCCAGGGACACACGCTTGCGTTCGCCCCCCGAGACGCCTCGGACGTGCTCGTCTCCCACGAGCGTGTCACGCGTGTGGTCGATGCCAAACATGGCGAGAAAGGCGTCGAGAACGACGGGAATGGTCCACGCAGCCCGCCGCCTCGTCTTGGTGGCGAGAGCAAACCAGAGCGTCTGCCAGACCGTGAGAGTAGGAAAGTGTCGGTCGTCCTCCTCGCAGTAGACAACCTCGCCCCTGAAGCGTGCCTCCTGTTCGGCGGCCGGGAGGGGTCCATAGTACACCTCGCCGTCGACGGCCGAGTATTCAGCCCGATGGTTGGCGAGCGTTTTGAGCAGCGTCGAACAGCCCGAGCCAGGACGCCCGAGTACGAGGAGAATCTCGCCAGGCCGGACAGCACCCGTCATGTCATGAATAAGGGGCACCGTCTCCGAATCCGATGCCTTGCCGGGCTTGATAGATGACGGCAGGTGCGTGCTGATCAAGGACCACAGGTCGGGCCCAAATGTGTTGAGGATGGCGCGAGGCAGCGTCTTGAGCGGCGCCGAGTTGGCGGCCGACGCACGAACGGTGAGGTTGCGAAAGGAGATGCCGAGACGCTTGGTCGGGCCACCGGTGGGTGTCCTAGGATCGAGGATGCCCTGGCGCAGAAAATCCGGAAGGTCAAAGTCGGTCTCGTCACCGTCATCTTCGGGGCAGCGTGTTGAGTCGCTGTTGCGGTCCGCGCTGTGGTTGGTCGCGGTTCTCCGGGAACGGTGTGTAAGCTCGCGGTTGAGATCGTGATATTCAGACATGGCAGCCGACACGGAGACATCGCCCGGGGCATGCTCGCCCCAAGTGCCGTCAGAGACCCGGCGTTTGTCGTCCATATTGGAGACTGGTAGACGTATTGCAGTGAGTTGTGTCTTGTCAAGCAAGCTACCCCCCCAAAAGAAAGTTGCTTCGGCGGCAAGCCTTTGTATAAGCCTAAAGATCGACGTCACGTCGATGATGGCACAAATCGATATGGTGGGAATCTTAAATCCGCCGCTATCTCTGCCAAGTACCCTATTTTTTCTAAGCCTCTGGTGAGTAATGCGTCTGTATGACAAGATGCCATGCCTCGGAGAAACCCCACCACGAGGAGAGCCATGTGGACTTTAGCTTCACATCCCGACGGCCATTGTGCACTCGAAACTGTGCAGATACGGGTAGTAAAACTGCCCAACATCGCATCAACACGACAGTGCGCACAGTGACCCCACGCGGAATGTGAATTCCCCCCCCCCCCTCTGGATTAGAAACAAGGGTCCACGCTACGGCAACTGGATGCGGGATAACGCTGACCAGATCCGGGTCAGGTCAGCACAACGCCCCGGAGATAAAGGCCCCCCCCTCCCCATGACGCTGAGGGAGAGCGGTGGGCGGCGACAGCGTCATGCAGGGCCCGTTTTTCATAGATGGCTGCAGAGGAAGTGATTCGACAGAGCCCAAGATCGTCGCAGGGGGGGAACGCTTTTCTGCCCTGGATCTGGCGCTCAACAGCCCCTAGCTGGTCTTAAGTCCGGACTTCGCTGAGTGGTCCTGACTCACTCCGGGGTGAAAAAGCCAGCACAACGTCACAGCAGAGAGTCGTCCCTTTGGGACCGGAAAAGGGGCCTCAACAGCTTCAGCCCCTGCTAGAAACACGGCCGCACGGCCATACCACACACCACAATGCGATCAATACAAGCATAGCAGTCAGCCATGCGCTCGCAAAAGGATGAATTCTGCCTCTCTGACCGTGGGGAGAGGGGCCAGTACGTACCACATGTACCTGAGGCACCATCCCGGCCGGTCCTCAAGGGACGAATACGCGGGACGGGTCCAGGGTCGATTGGTAAGGTGGTCAATTATTAATCGTCTTGAGGGCGGGAAACGCACGCCGCGTACTGGAGACTGGTATCGAGACTTCATCCTCTTGACATGTGTCAGCGCCAAAAGAACGAAGTCGCCTTGTGATCCCGCTCGCGTTGGCCTGCGAAGCTCTCGTTTGTCAAAAAGAATGGCGTGCCCCCGAAATCATGTGCCGTGGATTCGTCTGCTTGTCATCTTCGAGGCATTTTCTTGACAGGACGCGCTCCTGTCTGTCACGCACGTACGCAAGCAACATGAAGCTGACGGACCGCATCTGGAGTCAACACGATGACTGGACGCGTGGTGCCAGCTGCTCCTCTTTGGCGGTTGCACAACGAGAACCGGAACGGGCCCGACTGGTGATATGGTAATGAAATTGAGAATATGCAATGTACACTATCAGCACATGTTCAAACCTCCAACGCCGGATCCCAATGCACAGATTTCCTCTGCTGACCACGACCCAACTCCTGATTGCCCCTTGCCGCCGTTATATCTCCCAAAGCCGGTCGATGAGCCTGTGCCTGCCGCCTCGGTGATTTCCCATGCCCCAGTCCCGGACCCAGACCCGTTTCCTTGTCCCGTGCCGTGAACATGTCTTCGACTCGCCATTCCCACCTGCACCGCTCGACCACGTCCCCTGACCGCCGTAACTTCGAGCGCCAGCCCTCAACGAACAGGAATGCGAGGCGCGCGTCGCTACCCGTCTGAGGCGGCGGGCCTTCGGGCGATGCGCCCTGCCTCGAAATTGTTTGCTTGCCTTTTCGACGCAGAATCTTGGCATTGGTGGCTGTCGCGTGGTCACCGACACGCGCCCCGCCCGAGCGTGGTCAATAACCTGACCCCTCGTAGCTGCTACGCGCGTTCCGGAGCAGCCCGCTCCTTTCGTCGCGGTCCTCGGCCCGCTCGTTGAACAGGCCCATCTGCCGCTTGTAGCCCATCAGACCATTGTCATCTGGCAGATCCGACAGAGGCCGCGCCGTCCTGACCGGTGGCCACACACCGGAGCCTGGTCGTGATTTGATCGGGCTCCCGGTCTCTGAGGCAGACGTGCCAGACGGATGTGGCGCTTCTGACCCGGGCTTCTCAAAGACGCTGCGCATCTTGTGGAAGAGGCTGCCCGGCGAGCCCGTATTGTTCCCGCCGGGTGCGACGCTCGACATGGAGTTGCGTTGCGGTGACTGGTGGGCTACCGGTGGGACGTAGGTTTGCCGAGGGAACTTTGCGCCAGCATCGCGAAACGGGTCGTAGTCATCCATTGCGCTCGAGTCGTTACGTGCTCGTCGGGGCCACGAGTCGCGTATCGTAGGCTCATACCGGTCAGCATGCAGGGCCGAGTGCACGGGCGACGAGGCCGCCGTGTCGAGCGTGCTCTGACTGCGCAGCGAAACTGGCACAGAGTCATGCCGCGCATGCCATGGCACATTCATGACGTCCTTTGGCATGAATGCTTCAGGGTCAAACTCTGGCGGCGTCCGAGGGCGGTCGGGGTTGTGCTTGCTGTACGCGAGACCCCGCGTGGGACTGGATGATTGCGAGTAGCGCAGGGCGAGAGGACTGGGTTCGGCATCGCGCATCTCTGATCTGGGCAGCAACAGAGGTGTCGGTTGCCCCGCCCGCGGCGTCATATCTGATGACTTGGGACCAGAGTTGGGCTCGTCAACGACACGAATGGTCTGTTCCCTGACGAAGCCGTCGAACCGCTCTGTTGGGCTGGTGACGGACCTCTTCATCGCTGCCATCGCTGCCTCAGCCTCGACTTCAGAGTCAAATTCACTGGCATCCGTGCTGTAGGCACCGTCTTCGAACACTGTTTCCTGGCCACGAATGTCCGTCAGAACCGTTGAGTTGGCGGGGTTCATGTCGCTTGACGTGGGGAGATGGGTGCGGAAGTATCGGTGTCTCTCGGACTCTTCGTCTTCGGGAAGCTGCCAATTCGTCGACTTTTCCCGAGGCTTCTCGTGGAAGGACTCGTCACGATCATGTGCCTGATACAGATCCAGCGAACTCGGCTGCTCCGAGCTCTCGCGCGAATCGTAGCCATCGACGGAAGCTGGCTCGGCAGCTCGACTGGACGAAGGGTGATCATGGTTCGACCTCATTGGGCTCATTGATGGCAAATCATACGTCGACTTGGTCGGGCTCTTCGAGGGAAGATCGTAGCTAGATTTGGTAGGGCTCATTGAAGGAAGGTCGTACGTCCGTTTGGCTGGTTCAGACCGCAGTCTGGTAGATTCGAGGTGAAATTCATCCTCATCGTCACTCAGTTCCAGTCCGGCTGCAGCCATGTCGTCTGACTCGTGCTCAATGTGAGCAGCATCCCACGGCGTCCTCGTTGAGGAGAACCGGGACTCGCCGTCGACGGAGGCGTCGGGGGAGGTCTCCCAATCGTCGTAAGCCACGGCGGGGTCTTCGGCGAGCGCATAATTTCTTGTCTTGAGAGGCATGGGGACGAGGTTGTCGGTCTCAGCCGGGACAGCCGTGTTGTTGATATGGCCCGCTGCGATTGCGGGCGCAAGTTCATCCACGTCGTCACGAAAACTTTTGACAGTCGTATCTTCAATGTACTCAGAGGCGACTGGGCTTACCGGCCTGTCTTGTTGCTGCACTTGCTCATGTCCAGTCTCGGGACCTATGACGGCGTCGAGATGCGACTTCTCCGAGACCCGAGTGGGCGACCGAGACCGCGTGTTGTAATAGTCGGGAATGCTGGTCTTGTCAACTGCGGAATCCGCTGGCGACAGGTCGCGCGTGGAAAAGGCCTCTTCGTCGTCGGGTTGCGCCGAGCCGGCATCCAACGAAGAAGAGACTGAACGTTCGGCCGATCTAAGTTCGACAGAAGCATCCTGTGGCTTGATGGTGGATAGCAGCTCCTCAACCTTTGACTCCTCATCGTCGTAGTCCAAGTCCCTAATGAAGGGCTCCACTGACGGGGTCGTTGCTGTTTGAGGGGCCGGAGATCTCGTCGTGGCTTCGATGGGTTCTGGCGTCTCTTCTGGGAGGGCATAAGACCTCTGCTGTTCATATTTGGCATCAGCTTCGAAATCGCCCGCCTCGTCATCTGAGGAGTCATAGTCCCGTTCAATGCTCGGGATGGGCGTATCGGGGTCAACAAGCGGCGAGGACGGCTCGTTGATTGCGCGAGATTTCCTTTCATGGCTTTCTTCACCCGGTATGCTCCGCTCGTTGCCCAGAATCGGGGGTTGCCGATCGGCCGACTGATCGGCCTCGCCATGTAAGCTGGACACTTTTGCTATGCCAGGACTTTCTCCGCTGTGAAGGTCTGCTTCGTCGTCCAAGGCGGTATCTTCTGGAATCCCAAAAAAAGACTCCTCTTCGGGGGAGCTGGAGTTCGGTTCGCTACCGACACTCCTCTCATATGTACTGCTGCCGGCAGCGTTGTTGTCTGGCGTATGGGAATCTTTCATGGATTGTCCCACGTTGGAAGGTGCCGAAGAGATGACAACTTCCGGCTCAGAAATCTTTTCAGAGCTGTCGGATGCTGCGGACTCTGAGACTTGGTTCAGAACAGTAGGCCCAACAGCCCCAACAGCTACGGACGAAGCGTCACCAAATGACCTTGTCAGATCAACATTGTCATCCGTCACAACTTTGTCCACGATTGAGTCGGCCTGTGCCGCAACCTCAATATGTCCCGGTGCTTCCTGGACCTGGGGTGCGTCCATGGACTTGGTGGTCAGATCGGAAGTGGTGGCCTGCGCGTCCTTAGACTCGACAGCAGCATCTGCCTCACTGGATTCCGACTCCTCCAGCTCAGTCTCCGGCCTCGTAGCGCTCAGCTGTGGGGGGTTCAGGAGCTTGTCCTGGTCATTGACGGCGAAACCCGGAGACCCAGAACGTCGACCAGCATCCTCTGTCGCCAGGATGTCATCCTCAACCGGCTCAACCGACTTCGTTGAAAGTGCTAGTTGCGCCTTCGATTCTTCATCGGCTGCGACTGAACCCGATGCGGATTTCGGCTTGGGCGCCTCGATTGGCTTTTCGGATTCTTCAAGAACTTCGTCCGCCTCCACAGTTCTATCCTGTTCTTCAGATGGGTTGCTACCGATTGTCTTCTCTGCAGACGCTGCTTCCGGCGCCTCTTCGACATGAGAAAGCCTTTCCGCAGATATTTCATCCGCATCTTTCAGCTCATCGTCTTCGAGAGGCACTTCCGTAGTTGCCGCGGGAGAAGATGTGTCGATGTCAGCGTGCTCGGACGCCTTCTGGTCGGAAGCGTCATGCTGGAGTGTGCGCTTGTCGTCTTCCGTTCCGATGCTGTCATGAACTGCTGGCAAGACCCCGTCTATATCATCATTCACCTCGACAATGGGCGCGGGTCTGTCATCGACAGCGAGTGGGCTAGTTGTCTTGTCCTCTTCGTCGCTGTCGGCAGCTATTGAAGACGTGTCCTTCTCTTGGGCTGTGCCGGGCTCTTCGGAAGCTGAGATCTCACCATTGGCGACTGTAGTGGGCTCCCCATTTGCCACAACCGGAACTGAAGACGTTGCATCTCGGTCGACCTCAGCGTCCTCTTCGGCACCTGAGTTGACAGACGCTTCCCTCTCTGCGGCATTGTCGTTGACGAATGCAGCAGACTCAGACTTGGACACCTCTTCAGGCGTGGGAACGTCTTCGTCGTTGGCGAGGACGCTTATTTCACGCTCAGTTGTCGGCTCAATGTCAACTTCGTCACGGGTCTCAGGCTCTGGCGAACGAGTGTGGTAGTAGTCGGCAGCTGGCACTGACTGTTCTGTGGGCTCGTCCGAGCTTTGATCTCTGTTGCTGGCGTCCTCGGCCTTCTCCGCACACTCCAGATCTCGGGCAGGGTCATCGGCTGGCAGTGCATCGTCAACAGACTCGGCATCCGATGCATCATTCGTGATGGTGTCTTCCGAGCGATCGGCGTTCGTGACCGAAGCTGGCTCTTGCGCCGTGTCGGCCACTGGGGAGACGCTCCGTTCTTGAACGACATCCTCTACGTCGGTTTTGGTAGGATCAGCGTTGAGCTCGCTGGCGTCGGCATCTTGGGATTTTTTTGGTTCAGGTTCGGGGATCTCGGTCGACACAACTCCGTTGCTGGAATGGTCATCCCCTGTGGCTGGAGTCTCTTCAGCGCTTTCTCCCGCTGCGGCGGGAGTGTTGGTACTGTCTGCGGACAATACATCAATCGATTGGTCTTTGGTTTCTTCGTGCGTCTCCGAGTCCTCGGTGGACACCGCGTCCTTGTCTCGAGAGTCTCTTTGGGTTCCGCCTCATCCTCAGCGTTGTCTTCTGCTTTTTCGGCGACAGGCTCGTCCTCCTCGGCAGCATCTGCTGCCACATCCACACCGCGGGCGGCAGGTTCAGTGTCCTCGCCACCTCGCTCCGCGACCGCCTCTTCAGAGGCCGGCGCCGCAGCGTCTTCATGGGCCTTCACATCGTTACCACTGTCGTCTCCGGCCGGGCTAGGAAAGGAAACCTCATCCTTACTGGTAGTGGAGTCGTCCGCAAGCGACACGTCCTTGTCGGAAGTATCATCATCCTTCAGGGCGTCGGCATTGGGGGCAGCTTCGATGGCAAGAAGGCCGTTGGTGGGTGCAGCGGATTTAGCCGCCACAGCGGGAGCATCGTCAACGGAAGCGTCGTCCTTCGTGTCCGGATCCGCCGGCGGCGCGGCATCGACGGGGACATCAGCCGCGGCGTCGGTGTCGACAGGAATGTCGGCGGGGGCATCGGCGGTCTTCGCCCTCGTGCGCTTGCGTGGCACAAATGTGGGTATCGGGTTGCTCATCCGCTCATCGATCAAACGGTTGATTTCCTAATTCGTCACGTCAGCGACCGCTCACACAACGACGAACGACCGAAGCCACAAGGCGTTGGCAGCAGCGAGCTTACCTTTCGCTTCTCCTCCAGCTCAGTGAGCCTGGCCTGTCCCTCCTGCAGGAGCTTCTGCACCTCGGCCTCAACGGCATCGATGCCTTCGTCGGCCTCTTCTTCGACGAGATCGGTTTCCCGTGCGAGTCTGTCCCTTCGCTCGGCATCCTGGGCATCCTTTTGCGCAAGAAACTCGTCATCTTCCTGCTTCCGGCGAGCTTCTCGCTCTTCGTCCTCTCGCCTTCGGGTCTCGGTGATTTCTTCTTCTTCTTTGGCTCGCTGGGCCGTAAGCTCCTCGAGCTCGGCTTCGTATTCGGAGAGGAGGGCATCGAGAAGTGCGTCTCGCTTCTCTTCTAGCTCGTCCAGCTTCGCATCGTGTTCTTTTGTGGAAAGTCCGGCGATTGTGGTGTGGATGGCGGCCAAGTTCTCGGTCATTTGGGCTACGAGGGCCTCGACATCCATGGTGGTGGCCATGTCGGCAGCTTTCAGCTTTCCCTTGAAGGGGGGGAAACGATGAGAGATGGGACCAAAAGTGTAGAGAAGGAATGGGGTAAAAAATCAAGATGCAATTGAAACGCAATCACGCCGGGGCGCCTGTCGCTAGTGGTCCTCCCAAAAGAGGAAATCAAAGGAAAAATGCTGCAGCTGTTTCGTGAGACGTCGTAGCGTCGTGGACACGTCAATGCCAGAGGTGGATTCACAGGCGAGAGCGAGATAGTTAGGAATGGGCAGGGCAATGCAGTTCGAAAGAGCTGATGGAAAATCAAAAAGCGAATTGGTATCAGACGAAACACCAGAGGTAGGGGATATGACACCGGGGGTGTTCGTGCCTGGTTCCGTCCGATCTATATATCGTGTCAGCCAAGCAGCAGCGCCTGGACCTGGTGCTGCTCGGAGTAAACAGAGTAAAGGAAAAAAAAAAAAGCGAGACGCGAGAGAGAGGGCAGCCGACGATCCCCGGCCAGGACCCATGTCCGCGGGGGGGGGCCAGCGCATCCGAACGACTGGTGCTCAGCAGGGTAGGTTCTTGCAGAAAGAGGAACCATTGGCGGTGTCCAGGCTCACCGGCGGGCGAGTCAAATGACGAGATTGATTGTGACGATGGTGGTGCTGTGCAGAGGCCGCTCACGGGCACCGGCGCCCGGGGGGGTCGACGTCAGCGGAGCCTCTTGGGCCGCAAGCCTCGTCTCTGTTCGCCGGGCAACGGGTCGTCGGAGCCAGTGGCAAGACGGCGGCAGCGGGCACTGCTTTGTGCAGATTGGTTGTGCTCGATGTGCCTGACGTGGGGAAACCGCCCCAGCCCATGGCCTGGGAGGGGAGAAGCAACGTGTCGCGGTCGTAGACGGCGAGCGGGGCTCCATTATGCGCTGTTGGCAGACCATTGGTGATCGGGCATCGAGTCAGGACGCATAAAGAACTCGGAGGGCAGAGACTGGACGCCAACCAAGGGCTATGCGAGCGAGGAGGGCGGCAGGATGGGAAGTGGGATGTTGGCGTTTGATGCGGGTTGTGCGACCGGGGTTGTGATGTTTCGGCTGGTGTTGGCTGAACCCAGCCGAAATGACAAACCTCCACTGTTCAAATACATACTGCCGCTCACTCATTCTCGTGGCGTGAGCCACAGGCAGCAAGCGGCCAGTGTTCTGTGACGGGCAGCCACGACCGGGTGCCCTTTCTCTGCTTGCTAGTCATGCCTGCCTGTTCGCTCATCACTTTTCGCTCTTGTCCCGGGGAGCATCGCACCTTCCCAAGCTTGGACGAACCACTGGGAGCCACTGGGAACCACACAGCCACCGACCACTCGTTGCAATCTGCACTCCGGCCGGCGGCAGAGCAGCCTACCTACCTAAGGTAGGTAAGGTACGGACGGCAGGTTTTCACGAGATTGCCCGGGAGATGACCCCGACAGAGTCTGGGGTCGCTTCGGCCCATGCCACCCAGCCTCACCGCCTGACAATCTCGCAGGTCTCAGTGCCGGCCTGGACTTTGAAAAGGTTCCTAGCTGTCTTGACGTCAGAGTCAACGAAGCCAGACAGAGACAGATGTGAACGCATCCTCCATTTCGTACGATGCACGCAGACGCGTACCGTCTACCCTGACGGGCTCACCAACAGCGACGGCGAGATAAACGAACACCAGTTGTCATCATTCTCGTTAAATAAGAGCATTCTATAAGTATAGCTATAAGTGGTTAAAGAAAGATCCAAAAAATCGGTAGAAGCACAGAATCGTCGTCCCACAGCGAGGGGCGCCGGGAGCCACATCAAATAAACATATTCATCTCCGCCTTGGTCTTCGACCGCGCCTCATATTTGCCTCTTGGTGTTGCTTGCAATGGCCGACCTCCTCTTGAAGCTCTCGGCGTAGCTGATCCGGTCATACGTGCCGATGCCGTAGGCCACGAATCCCACGAGCGTCCAGATACCCGTAATAATGAGGCCAATGGGAAAGATCATGATCTGCACGCCAGGCAGCACAAAGGCCACGGTGCCGTTCCGCAGCTCGGCCGTAATGTTGCTGACGGCCTGCTTGGCCGTCGCGAATTCGGACATGACAACTTCGCGAGAGAAGACGCCCGTCAGGAACGCAGCCTCGTTGGAGGAGACGTTGGTGCTGATGCGCTGGCCCGTCGTATTCGTCGCCGTCAGGGTGAGGACGGGAAGGACGAGCGCCTCGAGTTCAGCCCTGTCACATGTCAAGAGTCAGTTAGTTACATTCCACAGCATGAAGCTCTCTCCAAACCCAAACCCCCACGCGTGACCGGAACGTACATTGTCATCTTCTCCTGCATGTTCGAGGGGTTGATCTGTCCAACAAACATGTACGACTGCAGCAGATCCATGACGTCTGCTCGTTTCGCCCTTCTCTGCTGGCCCACGGCGCCCGAAATTCGGCTGGCCTCGACTGGCGACACGGAGGCGCCGGCAAACGAGAGGCCGACCTCGATGCTCTCGGGCGGGATGCCCTGAAATTGGCCCGACGGCTCCGACACCTTGAACAGGCGCAAATCGGCTTCGAAGACACCAGATGTGGGATCCAATGCGGGGAGGTTGTAGCAGATGCCCGTGCCGGACGGATTCGAGGCGACATTCAGGTGGGCCAGGGCGTCGCGGCACGCTGACGTCGTCTCCTCCTCCCACGCTTCCATGTCCATGGTCCCGTCGGGGTTCAGGGCCACCTGGCTGTCGGGGTTGACCTCCTGTCGCTTCGAGAGATAGCGATCGGCGACGTCGCTGTAGTGCAGTTCGAGGACATCCGAGGCGCGGACTTGAATCACAGGATCCATGGCGAGAGGGCGAATCTCGGCGCAGGCGCCCGAGATGATGGCCGCGGTGGCCAGAGCCTTGTTCCAAAACATGGTGGGTGTGGTTGATGCGCAGTACGAAATCAATACGCTTGCTGTTTCCGTGCTAGGTTCTCTTGTCTTCGTGATCGCAGGTATATGGGTTGTGTGGCAAACTGATTAAGAAGCGATCCGGCCGGCGGCGAAGAAGTGAAGAGATCGGTCAAAAGAGCGTTGTGCCGAATCGCACTGGTGTGGCGACGCACTCTCGAACGAGCGAGTGTCTAACGCTCAGCGGTCGTCGTTGTTGTTCGTCTCGTCGGTCGTCGACTGTTGTTCGTCTGGTCGATGGGCATGCAAAGAAAGCGATCGTCGGGCTGCCTGCGTCGTCGAGTCGAGAAGAGAAGCGAACAAGAGGGTCCAGCCCGCAGGTGGGAAAGCGATGGCGCTGTTGGTTTGGTGTCCAGCGGATCCAGGCCGTGAAGCGAAAGCAGGAATAGGCAATCGGTAGGAAGATGGGGAAAGACGTGGGTGCGAGGAGATTAAACAACGATGGCCACTGGGTCTGGCCGACAATACGACAGCAGGGGGCGGGGCCGTTACTGGGCGTAGCACAACTCTATGTCAGGAGAATTGTGTCATGAAGCATCAGCCCAACAGCCGAGAGGTGGTAGGTGGGAATCGATGGGCGGTCGACACAGCAAATGGCGTGACTTGAGGACCCGTGGCAGGGCTGGCGGAACAAAAGATGAAGCAGAATCGAGCGATGCGCAAGGATCGTGTACGTCGTGAGGGCCAGCACGAACAGCGCAGAAGAGGTCGAGGAGGGCTGTGGGACGTGACGCTCGCTCACTCGCAGGCTGGCAGAGACATCCAGTGCGGCAAGTGGAGAGAATAGGGTGGAAACTGCATCGCGGCAGATGGACACAACAGGTAAGGCGTGTCTTGGAGGTTCGAGGGCCTGGAGGGCGATGCGTCGGTCTGGTCGGATCGTCTGGCGATGTAACGAGCGACGTTCGAGGATGGGTCGATGTTTGGGGCCTTGGGACGGACAAAGCCCTCTCATTGGGGGGTCACAAGCGTCCCTGGGAAGCACACAGGGAGCCACTCAGGGGGCATCCCACTGCACGCGCAAGCGCTATACCAGGGGCGTGTTTCATCGCTGTGCTCGCACTTGCCCCGCTGCTGCTGTACCGCAACTGCTGTGGCTGCTGTTCTGCTTTGGGCGCCTTGCTTCTGACCGAGCCCACCGAAAGTGAGCGGCGACTTGACCGAGATCCCCTTCTTCTCGTGGCTGCCGTACTTGACATCCGAACAACATGCCTGCCAGCCTAACTAGGTACCTTAGAAACAACGACTACAATGGCCCCGCCGCGTTGGCTTCACCAGAAACACTCTCGGGCTTCATCAACGGCTGTTCGGCATTTACATTAGGTATCATGACTATCTGTACACACAAAAAGTATTGACAAGAAAAAGGATAGGCAGCCAAGAAAAACTCGACATCCGACATAGCTAGCTCCTCCGCCGTCAAACATGGACCCTTAGACTGGACACTGTTTACTCCTTTGCAAACACCTGGGTACGTCGAACCACCATATCAATCAGGGTATCATACGACTCGTTGCTCTCCGTAGAGTCAAATGACGTACGCCTGTCCTTGACAAACTTGGGCCACGTATTCGTCAGCACGAGGTACTTGATGCTCGTCTCGGCATCGTCAAACACCGTCTCATCGAAGCCGTCTGGGATGTCCCCCCAGTAGTACGCTCCCTCGCCAATCGTCGACCCCGTGTCCGACACGTCGTCAGCGTCTCTGGCCGCTGCTCCAATGATGCCCTTCTCACTCGACATGGACACGGACTCGGCGCCCTTGGGTGCGGCCCAGTCGTCGAATGGCGTCGCCGTCGGCTTCGGCGACTTGTCGCCGTGGACTGACCGTGCGGCTTGCTCAAAGACGGTTTCGATCCGGCGCAGGTCACCAGACGAAATGTTAATGCTGAATTCGGCGTCTTTCTGGCTGATGAACTCGGTGTAAATGCGCAGCGCCTGGTTGAACTGCTCGCGGAGACGGTCCTGCTGGTTCGTTGCGCAAGGCTCGATCGACAGGCTCTGGCGGCCGTTCAGTGTGGTGGCCGGAATGTTTTCAGAACGCAGAGACGTCTTCCAGCTGGACACGCTCGTGAGGAAGGCAATGTTCTCGCCCGAGAAATCCTTGAGCGCAGAAAAGTGCTGCAAGGGTGCCGGGTTCTTCTTGAGTGCGTATTCGAGCGCGTCCATCGTCAACAGGCCGCCAGCAATAGCGGCGGCATCGAAGGAGCCGCCCTTCTCCACCTCGGACATCTGCCTCCATGAGACGAAACTGCCCTTGCCGCTGGTCTTGGTAGAGCCCGACACAAACGACTTGCCAGCGCCCGTGGTGTTCTTCTTACCAGATTCCCAGAGCGCAATGAGTTCCAGCGTCTCCTGTCGGAGCGACTGGTGGCGCAGCACCTGCCAGCAGGGTAGGAAGATTGTGAAGATCTCAAGCAGCATGATGGACACGGCGATCCTATAAGTGCATGTTAGCAACGATGGACCGTCAAACCCGGGAAACACTCACCACTGAGGCGGAATGAAGTACTTGTTCACAACCGCCATGGCGTCTACGTTCAGCGCAACGATCCACATGGGCGCGGCGTGCAGACTGGCCAGGCAGCACGCAACGGTCTGGAATCGCCAGCCCTGGGTATCACGGATGCCGCGTGACTGCCAGAGGATGTAGGGCGCAACAATCCAGGCCCAAAAGATCTGCCAGAAGACAGACGGCCACCACTCCCAGCCCCGACCGCGCTCCCGCGTGATCTGCTCAGGGGTGCCGGTGACCTCGGTGCCGGCCACACCAAACGAAGGATGGAATTTGTAGGAAACAAGATACATGACAAGTGTCAAAAAAAACTGCTATAATCAGCGAATGAAGGGTACACCATCCTGGCAGGCGAGATCACGCACCTGAAACGTCATGCCAGCGCAGACAACAGTCATCATCTTGGTGGTGTAGTCAAAGGCCCGAAACTTGGCAACCAGTGGCCATCGTGACTTTTCTTCTGGCGACTTCTTCACACGCTCGGTCTGGGCATATCTCATCTGCGCCTTCGCGACATGGAGGAAACGGCTGTTGGAGGCGTGGAACAGGGCAATGCCGAAGGGGAGATAGATACCCATGATCCAGAACTCGACCCCGTTGGGCATGAGATGTCCGTAGCTGGTGCCCAGCTGGCAGGCAATCCAGTACAGGTGAAGACAGACGACGGCGCCAAAGGAGAGGGGCAGACCTCGGATGCGGAGGATGGGCATGTCTCGCCTCGTCCACAGGAAGGCCATGCCACCGACCAACAGCGCGGTCCACAAGGACGCAAAGGCGGTCCAGAATATGGCGACCCCATCGAAGACCATGTTTTTGGGCGCCATAACTGAGAAGGGACGGGGGTTGTTGTTGTTGTTGTCGCCGCACAGACGAATGGACTCGTGCTAATCAGATAAAAGATTTGGCCAACAGGTGAACGAAGGGTGGCGGCTGGTATTACAATCAAGGGACAGTAGAGATCGTGGGAAGGAATGTATTTGTTAGGCACGTGACGCTGAGAGCCACTGCATCCTGCCACCTCGATAATAAAAGCGCCGACGACCAGAAGCTTATATTCACCACGACACATCAACATGCCAGCCCCTCGCGGACGGCGGAGTACTTCTCCACGCGATGAACGCTCCCTCGACGAAGCTCACCCCCCGCATGTCTTGCACGGCCATCTTATCACACCCAATAGCTCAGCAAACCTTGTGTTGCCGATCTCAAGGAAACCAAGGCTGGCTGTAGGCTTTTTGATGACCTTTAACCGGGCCTGTCACACTGACGCAAGGGCCGAAGACATGGCGCCGGCGTCTTGGCAGGTGCGGTTACGGCGTTTCTTCTTCTCAAATTTCCTAGTGTTCCCTCCCCCGGCAGTGCGGCAAAGGCAATCAGGACAGGGCTGCACCGGGGCTTGTCAAGGTTTTTCGTCGAGAGCATGCGGCGAACGTTCACTAGCCAGGGTGTACAGAGTGGCCGGGCATCTGTGTCCGGCGTCAGATGACGGGTTAAAAGAGATGAGCGGTCGAAAAGAGCTGACCGGTCGACAGATCGACAGGACCCCATCCCCCATCTATCGGATCGAGCTGAACCCAAGATCATGTAAACCCTACCAGAATCGATAGCCGACCCGGTATCCTTGCCGTTGCTGCGCTCTGGCGCTGCTGCTACAACTGGGCGGTGGGAAAAGTCATCATGGGGAAGATGGGAGATTGGTGCCATCACATATCGTCTTGGCCTTCGCCCATAGCTCCCACAGCTGATGGCGATCGCTGTAGTCTTGACAGTTCAATTGAGTCAAGCACACGAGGAAACAAAGCGAAATGGGCAATGATCTTCAACGGCACTTGAGGGTCTCACCCAGTCGTCACCAGAGTTGGTCCAACAACATCGAGCACCATGAGACAAGCCCACCGCTGGTGTTTGTCGTCACAAACATTGTCCCCCTTCGTCTGCATAAGATTCCTCGTCCTCCTCCGTTGTCCAGTGCCATCACTTCATCCCGAGCACGCCACAGAACGCCGCAGATGGATGCCGTCCATCAACACCATCCGGCGCAATTGTCCCGAACCTCTCTGCCCTTTCTTTTTCCCCGAACCACCTCGCCCTTCAACACCCCCAACCGCGGATCGTTCAGTCCAGGACCGAAGAAGCAATTCCGGCACTTGCCTTCACCGGACACGACGCTAACGGGAGCTTGAGGTCAAGGATGGGGAGCCGCGCGGTGGATGCTCCCTAGTGTTGAGCCGCTTGCCCAGCACTTCCATGCCATCTCCCCCAAACCCCACTGGGCGGCCCGCTTATCTTTCGGCCCGTTGGGTTCGAGGGCTTTCGTGAATCGCGTTGGGGTTGACATGACTGTGATTGTGATTCAGCCGAGTCTCGCGGCGTTTAGGATCCAGGGCTCATCCCATCTTTCCACTTACCTCAATTACCTGTGTGCATCGTGTGATCAAGAGAAAACCAGCCATCCTGTCCATCATGTTGTGCGAGTTGCAAGAGTCTGGTCTGTGCAGTGGGCAACGTGCCGACTTTGCCCGGCAGGCCCTGCGGCTCAGCTTCCAAACACACGTCGTCTGTTTTTTTTTTCCTTTCTTTTTTTTCTTCTCTATTGTCCACAAGTACGTGCATATGATCAACATGGCAGCCGTTTGTTTCGCGCAGCACGCTCGAATGGCGTGGGTGGATTGCGTTTCGATCTTCGCCCGTGTTTCCAAGACGGGTAGTACGCAGTACGAGACTCGATAAGCTCCATCCACCGCAGAAGCAAGGGGACGACACGTCTCGAGAGGGGCCCGCCTGCGTGTGCTGTTAGCCCGTCGCGATGGCGCTGGGTTGGTGGGATTGTGTAGGATCTGACAGGTTTTGTGGCGACGGCGTTGTCGTGATTACTTTCGTCGAGCGAGACAGCGAGAGTCAGAGTTGGTTCGTTGGCATACATGACGAGCTTTTTTCTCCGAAAATCACTTGATCAACCAAGCTGAAGAGAAACTTTCCGTCAAGCTGTTTCATGGGCTCGTGAAACCTCTTGGCTCATGAGGTGGTGATGCCGTGAGGGCTCACCTAATAGCACCAACCGCGTCCCGCCTCGGAGTTTCCGCCACGTTGCTGACGTCGGGCGCCCTG